TTGCGATCAGTGAAAGTAGAAGGTGCTACCCAGTGACCTTGATCCTGAATCATTGTTTAGAAAGTCACTTGTCCATGATATAGGCTGGGGGAAGATCAAGGTGTTGTCCGGGGATGTCACAGCCAGAATGAATTTTACCCTGCCTGCACACCCACTAACTTAAGTTGCTAGGTAATGAGTAGGAGCAGTTTGCTAACTCTGCACCTATTCCCTTGCTATTGCTTTGCTTTGCCTGATATCGGCAATTTCACCACAGATTCTGTACATTTATGTCCATGTATTTTGGTGTCCCCCTTTCTATAGCATTTGGAGAATGGTTTGTGTTGGCACTGTTAAAGTGCACTATTCATCTTTGTCTAATGAGTTGCTGCATTGGATAAACATGTACCATTCTTCCATGCATAACTGTATATTAATTAAGTGCAGGATAAGATCACACTTATAGCAAACAGCAAATTTGCATTTTATAAATAAAAGGTCAGCTCTGATATCTGCCACATTAGTGACTGCGCTGTCAGAATTCTTTTTTGACAAGTGAAAGCACCTAGTCAGAAAAAAGAATTGCAGAGGTTAATTCTCAATTATGTGCAAAGGTTTATGTACCATAATACTTAGGTATTGTATGGGATACCTATCATAATGTGTAAAATATGAAATTATCTCAGTATTGCAGAATAATTGTATATATTTTAAGTTGCCATTGACTGATCAATTCACGTGTATTGTGTTTTTGTTACTTCCTTCACTTTTTTTTGCATTTCCTGTAACTTTACATTTTTAAGTTGGCACGTTAGAGTGCAGGTTGCAGATATCTTCATATCTCATTTTCAAAATATTTGACTATGCTGTAGCTCTTATGTAAGGGACAGTTAGTTATATTTCAAAATTAACTTGGATTTATTGATGCCCAGAGACAGTTAAACAGAGTTCACTTTAATCTATGATTCATATTTCATTGTTAGTGCCAAATGCCATAAATACACTAAGCACTATTTCAACCTGTCGAGATGCATAGTATTTCTGGAATATCTCTTTCCCCTGGCTTGCACAGGGTTTGATTTGTAGTTCTCAACATGTGGAATGTAGCAGTGGTTGTATTACAGGCCCGTTGTATTTATCCCGATGGATGTTTTCAACCTTCAGCAATTGCGCCACTTGTTGACTATCAGTAAGAGCAATTTCTCCAAGAACATCTTCAATTTTTGCATGTTGGCTTGAGTGGCAGTTATTTAATATACCTCTATCGATTTCAAGTTAAAGTTTCCAGATTCTTAGAGCAGGGTTTTGGGGTTGTGTCCACGTAGTCTCCAGATTTACTGTATTTGTTGACATGGCATGTCATTTCTGTTAGAAAAAAATGGTTTCCTGATGTTTTCCTGCAACAACTGTCTCCTGAATATTAATTCAGAATGTCCCCAGAAAATGTCAACATCTGCTACAGTCCCCCCAACTCAAAAGCCTCATCAGGAACTACAGTTACACAGAAGCTGGCAGGCCTTCAGTAGCTCACCCAAGGGTCTGTTGTTCATCGGTAAAACCTGTCAATGCAGGCAGGAGCATCAGATCTAAGCCCAATCCTCTCTCCAGCCTGAGCCTGCTCATTGGTTCCATCAATATATACAATGTGATGATAGATTGGTTAAATCTCAACCTGCTAAGTTAATTCAAATGCCACCTAAAGCACATTGGTTAAGATTAACTAATTAAAGGCAGCACGGTGGCACAGTGGTTAGCACTGCTGCCTCACAGCGCCAGGGACCCAGGTTCAATTCCACCCTCGGGCGACTGTCTGTGTGGACTTTGCACATTCTCGCCGTGTCTGCGTGGGTTTCCTCCCACAGTCCAAAGATGTGCAGGCTAGGTGGATTGGCCATGCTGAATTGCCCGTAGTGTTCAGGGATGTGTAGATTAGGTGGGTTATAGGGGGATGGGTCTGGGTGGGATGCTATGAGAGTCGGTGTGGACTTGCTGGGCCGAAGGACCTGTTTCCACACTGTAGGGATTCTGTGATTCTATGAAAGGCGGACCTGATGTCAGGTCTGAGAGCTTCCAATGGTGCATTGATTTATTGAGCTTTCAGGGCAGCTCTATTGCCCCTTTTTTGTAAAATGTTCATTTAATTCCACCTTTCTTCACCCTTCCAATAGATCAGATTCCTAGTTTCTGAAGGCCATTTAGCTGGCACACTTTATTGCTGTAGATTTTGTTTTGGATTAAAAGCAATTTTTCATTTCCTTACACATTATTCTTTGACTGTAGAAGGAACAAAAACTATCTCTTTATTCTCTTTCATTCACAACACTGGGTTCCAAAGCAGATTTGTAATTGTGAAAGTGCTTTTTGTCATTTTGTCATTTGCTGCCTGTGCAATTTTCTTTGATTTTAGTTTCAACCTCACAGTTTGTCATAACGTTTCATTCTAGATCTTTCCACTATACCCTAGCTTAACATGTCCAGGGAATCCGTGTGCCAAACATACATGTGAAAAAAATTGCCTTTAATTTGCTAATTAATACATAGTGACGCATGTTGTCTCATTGATTTATTTTATAAAGCCTAAGGGCATGTTACATTGTTCCAAATTGTTTTACCTCACTTAATTTTCATTGCTTCTTATGTCACTGCTGAGGAAATTGAGGCAAAATCTTGAGCTTTTTAAAACAATAAGTAAAGTACGTCACACATGAAACATATTCTCGTTATGTTAATTCTGCATGCTACTGAGGACTTGACATCGAAGGCTTCACATCACCAAATGGATAGCTCAATGTATTTCACCTGTTTTCTGGGTAGAACTGGATCAGGTTTCAATTGGGGGCACACTTGTGGCAGCCAAATGGAGAAATGAGCAGTCATCATTGCTGTCGAAGTTGAACTGCAGCCCACGACATCATCTTGGACAGGTTGGTCCTGACATTGCACGGGCTTCTGTCCTAAATTTGAAAGACTTTCTATATATTTGTCCATGAGATATGGCTATTGCTGGCTAGACCAGCATTTGTTTGCCTGTGAGAAAGTAGTGGTTGTGGTGGTGGTGAACTGCTTTCTTGAACCACTGTAGCCCTTGGTGTGTTGGGATACCCACACTGCTGTTAGGAAGAGTGTTCCAGGATCTTGATTCATTGACCTGAAAGAACAGGGGCATGGTTTCAAGTCAGGATTGTGTGTAGCTTGGAAGCAAGCTTGCATTTGTTGTCCTTGTCCTTTTAGATAGCTGATGTCACAGATTTGGAAGGTGCTTTCAAAGCTTACTTGGTGAGTTGTTGCAGAACATTTTGTAGGTGGTATACATGGTTGCCACTGTGTGTTGGTGGTGAAGGGAGTAAATGCTGAAGGTTATTTTGTCCTGGTAGTGCATCTTGAGTTTAGTTAGTGATGCACCCATCCAGGCAAGTGGAGAGTGTTCTAACACCCTTACTGCAGAATTGGCAATAGATAATATTTGTAGGACTGATCCAGTACTGTTTCTGGTTGTTACAAACACCCAGGATGTTCATAGACATTGTGATGGTAATGCTATTGAATGTCTAGGAGAGCCGGTTAAATGAAGAAGAAAAAGCGCCACCCATTTGCAGGGAATTTAGTTATTTTTCAGGTATTTTGCATCCTCCTTGCACCATTATCCACTGGGCCGTTCCCATAGGTGTTTTGCAAACAAGTTATGGGTGTTATTGATTAGCTAATTCAGTTTAGCTTGAGACCAAAGCAAATCAAGTCAGTGGTTCACCATTCCAAAAAGAAATGTGGCATTTTCATATATATGTATTCAGCACTTTGTTTCCTGTGAATCTACCAAACTCTCTTCTATACTTCTGTACTGGTTAAAACATACAAATGGTTTCAAGAAGATCATATCCAGGCAATAATCAATTTTCTCAACGCATTGCATTCACTTTTATTACCTTCTTGTGTGATTTCTTTAATAACTTGGCAAATACACAACCTTCCTTTGATTACTGTTCAGTCTGCTTTCCTTTGGATGTCTAAGTTAATGATTAGGACTGGAAGAGCATGGGCTTTTCAACCTTGCCATTCTTCTGAATTTGAAGTGTGACATTTGAAGTGCAGTTGACTGAAAACACAAACACTTGACAGCATGTGCAGATATCTAAAATATACACACACGTACCTGCTAATATATTTTATATATGCACGTGTGTGTGCGTATGCTCATATTGACGCAGCACATCCATTTGTTTCAAATATGGAACCATTCACTTGGTAATTAAATGCCTCTGATGATTTGCGCGAGGTGATGGCCTAGTGGTATTATCACTGGATTGTTAATCCAGACACCCAGATAATATTCTGGGGACACAGCTTCGAATCCTGCCACAGCAGATGGTAGAATTTGAATTCAATAAAATATCTGGAATTAAGAATATAATGATGACCATGAGTCCATTGTCAATTGTTGGAAAAACCCATCTGGTTCACTAATGCCCTTTAGAGAAGGAAACTGCCATCCTCACCTGGTCTGGCCTACATGTGATTCCAGACCCACAGCAATGTGGTTGACTCTGAACTGCCCTCTTGGCAATTAGGGATGGACAATATTAGCTGCCTAGCCAGTGATGCCCACATCCTGTTAATGAATAAAGGAATTGAACAGCAGAACCTGCGATACGTTTGGTAATTCAGCCACTGTCAAATTTAACTCTTCAGTTGGAGTTATCTAATCTTAATTCCATCTCTCTGACTTTTTGCTGTGTACTTATATGGTTTTCCTTGATAACTTCACTTTTAAATGTTATTGTATAACCTCATTAGCCATTTGTGGCAAAATATGCCATGTTCCAATAATATCTATGTCGAATGTATTCTAGCGTCACCTTCAGTTTATCAACTGCTGCTTCACATTTCTTTGTATGTAATTGTATGTAATTCCATATCATTAATTGTTGCTTTCATATATGTTAACATTTTGTTTCAACAGCACAAATTTTCAGAAGAATAACCCTGTTCATAAACTGACTGAAGAGGAACTGTTGGCATTCACCTCTGTGAGTACTGCAGTCTCTTGTTCTTTCTCCTTTCAGGCTGTGTTCCCTCTTCACTTGAGATTCTTCCTGAACAAACATTGGCTGAAATTTTCCAGCCTTTTTCCACGTTATGTTTCCCTGTTGGGTGGATCCCCCTAATTTACTAGAGTTAATGGAATCTGAAAAATGTACGCAAACCGAAAGCCTGTGCAGTGTGCAAGCAAGTACTGAAAAGCAGTAGTTTTTTTAAAATGAAATCAGCAGTGCCTTCGTTAACAAACTTTTCTAGACAGCAAAAGCCATTGTTGCATATTTTAATGCTTCCTTGGGTATAGATTGTTAGAGGAATCAGTTGTTTTTAAATAATCTTTTTGAATAAAAAGCTATGTTCCAGAATGAAATCAGACCAGTTCTCATTATCTGAGGTTTGTGTCTCAATTCCTTCTCTGTGATATCAGTGGATGTCATGGCAAATTATTTCTATCCTCCAACACAACATTTCTTGTTTGAGGAAAGATCTCATGACCCCAGTTTCAAACTCTCATCAGTCATTGACTCATTGTAGTGCAGAAAGTTACTCATTATCCTAGGATCCTAGCCGCAGGTATTTATCATTTTGTGAATTGGCGGAAGGTGTCGAAGTAGTCCCCTGATGTGAGTGAGAAAAATGAGGGCAGGAGATGTCCGCTTAGTCCTTCAAGCCTGCTGTGTCATTCTTTTAGGTAATAGCACGTCTTCTACCTCCATTATCCCTTCTACACTATCCCCATATCCCTTGATTCCCTTAGTATCCAAAATTCTGTCCATCTTTATCTTGTGTTTTCTCAAGGCTTGAGATTCCACACTTGCTGGGATAAGAGAATTGCAAATCCTCACAACTCTTTGAATGAAAAAATAGAGTAACAAATTGATATATTTCTCTGTCAGGCCTGCAGTTGTAATGCCAAATCAAGCATTTGCCCAGAAAAGTTGTAATTATAAAGAATATCCCAACTGTTAAATGAACAAAATATGTTTAGAATTGATCAGTTCTCACTTCTGGATATGACTTTCCAATTTTTGAATGCATTTTCATTGTACTTTGCGGAAATTGTAGGTGCCCTTCTTCAAGACTTAATGTTACCTTGTGAAGACTGTTAGAAAACACGTGACACGATTACTCTTACTTTAGTGTTGCTCTTTCCACAGTTATGTGGTAAATATAAGGGCTTGATTTGAGAGGGAACTTTGAATTTCAATCCTCTGGAGAGCAAGTATATTTGTAGTTCTGTAAGCTTCTGTCAACCAGCTATTCTCCAAGATTGGCAGCTCCTGTGGGGAAACAGCAGAGCTAACACTTCGAGTCTGACGACTCTTCATCAGCTCTGATGAAGAATTACCAGACTCAAAATGTTAACACTGCCTTCTCCCCACTGATGCAGCCAGACCTGCTGTGTTTCACCAGCAATTTCAGTTTTTGTTTCAGATGTCCAGCATCCGCCATGCGCTGTTTTATTTTACCCTCCAAGATTGCTGCACGCCTCCAAGTCTGGTCTCAAAAGCATTTTCTTTTATCTACCAATTGTGATCGTGCCATTGGCTGTTCAGGCCCTAAGCTCCAAAAGTCAGTAATCAGTTTTTTTCACCCTTTGTTCTTTAAACATGCATTAAATCATACCTCTTTGTGGCCGCATGGTGGCTCAGTGGTTAGCACTGCTGCCCACAGCACCAGGGAGCCGCATTCGATTCCACCCTTGGGCAACCTTTTGTGTGGAGTTTGCATGTTTTCCCTGTGTCTGCATGGGTTTCCTGCGGGTGCTCTGGTTTCCTCCCAGTCTAAAGATGTGCAGGTTAGTTAGATTGGACATGCTAAATTCCAAAAGGGTTACGGGCATAGGGTAGGGAGGTGTGTCTGAATGCGATGCACTTCGGAGGTTTGGCGTAGACTCAATGGGCCGAATGGCCTGATTCATGCTGTAGGGTTTCTATGATTGATTCAACTTTGATCGTGCCTTCAGACATCTATACTACTACTTGTTTATCTGAGTCAGTGTCAAAATTTTGTTTAATAACACTTTATGAGGCAGCTTGGAATATTTAATATGTTCAAGGTGCAATATAAAAGCAAGTTGTCAATGCTGTATCACATTTTAAAATAAATTTTTCTAGGTTCTGTGTGCATTTATTTTCTATTAGACAACTTCTGTTAGAAGTGTACAAAAATCACCAGAATTAACTAAAATTAAGGCTACTTTGTCCTTAGTTTGTCTTTTAGAGGATTGATGTTCTTTGTTAAGCGTCCTTCCTGTAGTCTGTCACCCTGACTACATTGCTAAACTGAAAGTGTTGCACTTGGGTGGAATTTAATCCAGGAGACTATATAGCCAGGTGGAGAGCCAGTGAGAGCTCTGTTTCAACTCCTTTGAGAAATGGCTACTGTGTTAGATGCCAAACAGGCAATTAAGTGCTCAACGGCAAGCCTCCCCAGAATCAATGACTCTGGGGACAGAAGTCACGCCTCCGGAGAGCTACTGCCAAATAGAGCCTCTAATCATATTCACTCACCTGTTATAAGACAGTGAACTCAGAGCCCCATTGTTCTGAATGGTAGTACAGCAGTAGGTGGAAACTATGGGCTTAGGCCTGATGCCCAGTCTCTTAGCTAAAGAATCATATGGTACAAAGAGATTGTCAAATGGCCATGGTGCAAGGAAAAAAGACTTGAAATAATATGCTTTTCACAACTGCTGGGTGTCTTAAAGCACTTAGTCAGTTAAGTACTTTTGAAATGTAATCACTGTTATATTGTAGGAAACATGGCAGCCAATATGCATATAGCAAACTCTCAAAAACAACCATGTAATGATGACCAATTGTTTTGTTTTTTGTGATGTTGATTCAGATATGAATATTGGCCTGGACACCAGTGCCCTATTCTTCAAGGTAATGCTCAGGATTCTTTTGCAACCACCCAAACAGTCAGATGGGGTTTTCATTTAACATCTCATCTGAAATACTGCATGTCCATCAGTGCAGTGATCCCTGAATACTGCACTGGGGATGAGTCTTTACTTTTGTTAGTAGGCCCTAGCGTGGGACATGAATCTGGAATCTCGTTATTCACAGGCAAGAATGCAAAAGCTGAACTGCAGCTCATTTGATAATAACAGAAAAGCAAAATGGCAAATAGAGAAGAGTATCAGTTTATATGCTTATCATCTTAATTGTACAGGCCACTTCTTTTAAATAATCATATGCTTTTTTTGTGTAATGTAGCCATGCATTATTGAAATGTGTTATAGCTGCACTCTAAGAAAGGAAATGTAGATATGGGAAGTGGTTTGATGAGATGTTAAGTCCTGAGGACTATAGGTGTGTGAGAGAGGCAGAGAACCAAATGGCAGCATCACAAAAGTATTAAGAACCAACTTCTAATAATTCTGTTGTTTCATTCTGCTTACAGATGTGCCATAATCTCTCTTCATGGCATTATCTATTAGGACAAATTTTTTAAAAAATGTTTGTACTCAATCCTTCCACATAGTGTGTGGATTAGCCTCTGGCTAAGTATAGTGGAGCCAAAAATTTGAAGTCATGTTGTACGTGAAGAAGACCTGTTTGGTCATTCTGAAGGAATAGGCAATTCCACATTTGTGACAGCCTTGAAATCCTGGAACTGTATAGTGCTGTTTTTGGTTTGTTTGTGTTCTACCTATGGCATGAGTTCCATTTTAATTTTTGAATGTATTTCAGTACCTTTTAGCGTGTCCTGCCACTAACGTTCAGGTCTGGTGGATCAAATCTGAATCACTTATAAATCTGCTTTATTGTCGATGCTATCTGAGGCTCAAAATTAATTATGCTATCACTGGAAGAACAAATTGTTCCATTACATATAAAACTTTCAGGTTTATTTAGCAGCATAAAATGCTCAGACTAAATTTGTACAAATGCTGTCTAAATTGAATACACTTCTGTATTTTTTTTCTGATTTGGAAAATATTTTGTATACATCATTGGCTTCTTTCTTTCTGAAAGAGTAATAAAGTTTGACACAGCTGAAATTGGGGTCAGATGTGAGAAGTGTTTCTTAAAATTCCCTGGTGTGGACATTCAACTGCAAGGCAAATGCTTTGTCAGCTATCGTAGAACAAGTACAAGCCATACGTTTTCCCACAGACATTTTACTACTTAGTGGGCTCAACCTTATAACCATCATAAACTAAAAATCATGATCAAAGCAACTGCCCTTTGGCAGAAAAGCCTGCTTCACTTTGTTGAGGGAAATACGGTCAATCCTGAGAAATTGTCCCACTAAAATGAACTTTGAAGGACAAAGCTGGGTGATCTCCTAAATTAACTTACATTTTCCTACCATAATGAAAGGATTATGTCCTCTGAACTGTTCTCATTTTTCTAACCGAAGGGTTTAAACAACCATATATGTAAATTGTTTAGACTATAGACTTGCACAACAGTGAAGATTAACTTAAAAATTGAAGCAAATTTTAAGGCACAGTGGGAAGGTGTTCAGAAAGAGAAATACTCAGAATGAAGTGTAGGTAGGGGCATTGAAAATTAAATTGAGTAAAATCAGTTTATGAAAGTATCGGATCAGCAGGGCAGCTTCAGATGCCTTATGACATTGTTCCGTTTTCAGGTGGTTAGTTTGGAAAACCAGATTTCGCCATAGAGGCCTTCTGTCTTCATTCATTCTTACAATAACTGTGAAAACTTGTCTCTTAGTTGGAGTAATCTTGTTACCATGAATCACTGAAAGAATGAGTATCTGAAGTTTGCCTAGCCATTTTGTTTTCAAGGTGTCATGAAACCATAATATATGGAACTTAGTGATTACTATTTCACAACCGTATGGTATATTCGCGATATTTTCCTGTATTTTTCTTGTGTTAATTTTAATGAATCTTTATGTTAACTAATGCACAGATTTAAAAAAATAGGCTTTTTGAATCAACCTGTTCAGATATTGTTACACACCTCTGGAGCAGTGGGGGTTGGATTTGAACCTAGGCCTTGAAGTT